AAATGGTGGGGGAGGGTTTTTTAAAAATGGGGACTGCTTCTGTCGTGGGGAAGAAGATGCAACTATATTTTATTAAAGGAAAACGCAGTATAATACTACGTTTTCCTTAAAGGCAGTATTATAATGTGTTTTCCTATAATAAAACAAATAATTAAATAAAATACAGTATAATACTGCATTTTACTTTAACGGCTAACTTTCCGTTAAAGTGAAATGCAGTATTATACTGCGTTTTATGTAAAAATGTAAATTTTTTTTAACTGTAAAAATATATTTTTTGTCCAAAATGACATCATTTCAGTTTCGGACTCGCCATCACAGCATACGGTGTCAATCAAAAAGTTTTGTTTTCTGAAACAGAAATTTTTACAGAAAATGGCAGTCAATCAAATATTTTGTTTTCGGTAAATATTTCTCATCAAAAAATTCAAAAAAATTTCTGAATGTCCCTTTGGTAAAAGGAAAATAAATCAAACTGCTACCTATGTTAATCCGAGATAAATTTTACATATTAAGGGCGGTTGGAGAAAAAGTTAGATCATCCAAACAGACTTAGTAGGTGTTTCAACATAAAAATTTGAGATTTGAAAAAAAGTAATTTTTAAAATTAAGTTGAAAAAATATTTGAAAAGTAAAATCAGTGTTTGAACATATATTTCCTTGAAAAAGTGGTTACAAGAAACTCATCTTCAATTTGTTTTAAATTCATCTTCAAAAATTCATTCCTATGTAGTATGTATGTATAACCAAATTATATTTTGAAAATGAGTTTAAGAAAAAGAAAACAATTCTTATGGATAAACGGTTCCTTAAATACTTAAATTTTTTGAAATGTATGTTAGATAATTTATTACCCATAAATAAATATGAAGGTGTTAGTTGTCAATTGACCTTTGTTAGTAAATTTCACTATCGATAACCATCAAATATGAACCTTTGGTAGTAATTTCACTATGTATGAAATTACCTGACCTAAGACTGCTAGACAAGATGTACGTTAAGTAGTTCATCTAAACCGAAAGTCTCTTAACTGTCATTCTCCATGACATGAGTTTTTCTTTTTTCATGTTAAAAACCACACACTTGATATGACATATCGTATTATGTGAGCCTCTTTGGACATAATTTTTTTTTTCCTTTTATTCCAAAAAAATTTCACTTTTTTTTGAAATCAGCGTTTGTGCATAAAATTTTCAGTTTTCACTTGAATATACATTTTGAAATTTTTCGAAAATTTGAAAAACTCTAAAAAGTTATTTTTCAAAATTTTCACTCAAATCACTCACAAAACTTCAAAAATAACCCAAACTGAAATTTGTCCAAACACAACTCTAAATTTCAAATACCATTTTCACTTGAATTTTTTTTCACCATTTAATTTTACAATTCTTATGTCCAAACGCCTACTTAATGCCTTTTGGGTAGAGATTGAAATTATATGTCACATAAAAAAAAAGATGAAATATTATTAGCCGAACAGTTTGTATACGGTCCCGATTTCGTTCTTCAATGAAAAAGGTGTTGTAAAATAAGATGATTATGGAGAACAAAAGATTTAGCTTGAGGCGTGTCAAAGATATTGTCTTTAAGGATATTTCGCCCACACTGAGATGAATATTATTGAGCATATCCCCCAGGATTCAACAAGCTCTTCTAGTATAACTAGGAGTAGAAACAACAAAGAT